TGATGAGATTCAGGAATGTAAAGGCAATAATAAGAGTTATTGGGAAATTAAAGTTTGTAAAAAGATATTGCTAAATCTTTGATTGTTATATTTTTCTTCCTACAGCTAGTGTTTGTGTACCAGAGAGGAATGAGTACAGGTGGAGATGTTGCTCTTGACGATATCACCATCCTTCCCTCAAGCTGTGTGCATCCCATCTCTCCTCCCTCAGATGATACAAGTATTCCTCTTACTTAAATCATGCGTACCTATATGCCATTCTGTCTTGAAATAATTACTTACTTAATTACTTCAGTTGCAGGTATTTATCTCAACATGGTTTCCTGTTTCTGCAGATATGCTGTCTGTTGGCCTTGCAGTTGGTCTGACTTTGCTAATTGGAATCATCATCTCCATTTTCCTTTTTATACTAAAACGAAAACGGAATTCAGTGTATGCTTTTTTGTTTTTTGTTCACGTTTCACATATTGTAAACATGATGTGTCAAATCAGACCAAAGTTATTATGTTGTTTATTCATTTTTTGTCCCATATGTTACAGGAACCAGTCATCAATAATCAATAATGAAGTAACTAATGAAAACTCTGTGTTCGACCAGTGTGACAACACACAACATGTAAGTTAGTATTTGTATTAAATTCAATTATATTAATAGATAGAGATTTATATCATATTATTGTTTGTTCTGTTTCAGGATACAGAGCAGGAAGCTGCACTTGACTTCTCCTTCTTCAACAAACTTTATGATCCATCAACACACACTCCTGAAGCTTCCTCTGAGGCTTAGCCTGTGTTTTATTTAGTAGAATATATAAAAATATCACGTTTGTATTAACTGTATTGCTCCTTCTTTCCTGCAAATACTACTAATCCTAAAAGCCATACTGTAATAAAAAAATAAAAAATTCCAAAATTGAAACATGTAATAATCTTTTTTTTTTTTTTTTTTTTTTTTTATAAAGGCTTTTTGCTTTGTAGATTCAAAATAATTAGTTATATTTTAATCACAACAAGAGTGAGATTGTTATGCTAATTTTGTTTGACTCTCAACATGTTTGGTAAACTAAATCA